TTCATTGCTGGAGCTGAGCTGAATGAGAGAGAGAGAGAGAGAGAGGGAGATGCAGAGCGTCTGCAGAGCAGGGGGACACGGGGAACAGTTTTAAGAACCACTGCTTTAGAATTTTTGATTCTGAAACTTGTGAATCCATTAAAATCGTTAGAAGACAGAATCGCGATTCATATATGAATAGGTTTTTACGTGCACCTCTAGTTTTCTCTTCCTCTTCTCTAAAGCAGCGCAGCATGGCCTCGCCCCCTTTGCTGCCTTTTCCCGAGGGCGATTACACACTAACTAACGTTAAAAAAGTGAAACCGCAATGAACCACCCCTTTAACATTTTTGGATGGACTATCTCTTCATTAAAAACTTCATTAAATCTTATGATTCTGAAATTATTTTTTTTTTTTTTGGAAAACTTTACAATAGTGTAAACTAATCTAATTTACTATTGACTGACCTGAAGTATGCTCCAAAATGTTCAAATCCACATTTGGCAGTTCTAGAACAAACCTGGGAATTCTAAAACAGAATTCTGCCTTCCAATCATGTTTCTGTGTGTGTTTCAAACTCTCTTTGGCCACGTATACACTGCAGCGTTTCAAGAGTGACAACCACAGTTAAATGCTGGAGTAAATATCCTTAATTACCTTGTGACGGTTGACAGTGATAAAGAAACATGCATGTTGAAGAATGTTGGTAACCGAACAGTTTTGGTCCCCATAGACTTCCAATGTATTTTTGTATCTTCTTATGTGTTCCACAGAAGAAAGTAAGTCATACAGTTTTGGAATGACATGAGAGTGATGACAGAATTTTTACATTTTTGGGTGGACTATGCCTTTAAATGCGTAGTCATATTTGAAAACTTGTGATTCTAAAATGATTTCCTTTGCAATGACGTGAATTAATCTAATCTGATACTGACTGACCTGAAGTACGTTTGAAATTAATTTAGAAGTTTGAGTGCATATTTGGAAGCACTAGAACAAATCTGTGAATTCTAGAACTGAACTTTGTCTTTGTGTGAGTTTTAAACTATTTTTAATACCCTTAATTACCTTGTGATGGTTGACAGTGATATGGCTGTGAAAAAGAAACATGCATGCCAGATCAACCCATTTTATACTGCTATTTTTGATGGAAAAAAATGCAGACTATATATCAATCATAAATAACTACAGAGCGTACTGAATGAAATGAAACACCCAGTAGAGGAGTGACAATATTTTTAGCTGCAGTGTGGCTTTTAGTAAATGTCAAATATTTCCTCACATCACAGAGCATGAATTATGTTGAAACTGCCATCTGGTGTTCTGAAACATGTCACCTGACACGCAGCGAGTCTATTAGGAATTATAAATCAATCAAAGTGCAATTAAAGAAAGCTATAACTTAAATGTCACAGGGGCTGGTGTGACAAAGGGAATCTTGTGTGTGCTTGTGTGTGTTGGAGGTAAAAATGACTCAGCTGGTTTGGATGTTTGGGGTTTGCGGGAACAGGAAGGGCAGGAATTCTGCGTCGCCGTGGGGAAGGAAAACTGTGCCAGAACCAGGTATGTGGCTGTGTGTTCATGGCAGCCAGAGTTTGTGTGAATGTTTTCGAGTGAGAGTGTTTATATGTGTGTGTGTGCCAAAGCAAGTGTGTGTGTGTGTATTTCACACACTGAGAATGTTTATTGATGTTTCTGGTTCCATGCATGTGTGTGCGTGTGTAAGCGAAAGTAGATAATTTTTTATATTCTGTTTGTTTCAGCCCCTCCACAAAAACGCTGCATTCTGATTGGATCATTAATATTATGATTCACCCATTATGACGGCAACACACCCACACACACACACATCTGCAAAGTCATTTGAGGACAACGGTGTGTGTGCGTGTGGTTTTTTGATGATTTAGATGTCACAGTGATTCATACTCTCATTCAACTACCAATAACATAAAAGAACACCACTGAAAAATAAAAGCATTTTCCTGAAACAGATGTATGGCTAAGGAATAGATTAACCAAAAAATAATAATAATAATAATAATAAAATAAATAAATAAAGTCAGAGTCAAAGATGAACTATGCGTGTTTGTAAGGTCTCTTACTTGACCAGCGTAAGTCGTCTTCCACTTTGCAAGTCTTCAGTGCAGGAGGGTCAATCTGATCTGGCCATAATGCTACAACAAAAAACAAACAAATAAATAAATATATATATACATACATATTGAATTACATTTACTCATGCATAGGCACTGTGTGATATAAATTTTTTTTTTTTTTAAATCTCGAAAAATTGCTCAGATATTATTTAGCATCTTTATATTGATATTAATGTATTTACTCTTAAAAGTAGCTGTAAATTAATAATAAAAAAATAATAATAAACATAATAAAAATATTTTACATTTATATACAGCAATGTAATAATCCAAAATAATAAATAGAAATGTATCAAACCAATATATATATATATATATATATATATATATATATATTAATATT